AATATCTTTCAGCGATTTTTTTATTGATAATATCACACATTATGATGTACTTTTTTTTTTAATAGATGTGTGCAAAAAATTTATTTTTACCGGGCCGTACTTCAGTCACTCAAAACATTTTTTTGTAAAAAATACGAGAATAATACACTGAATATAGCTCTTAATTCAAAATCAATTTGTACTCTCTATCAAACTAAATTCGATATTTAGAATTAGCACATTGAAATAAATTTTATCCAGAACATACTAGGATAAAAATTTAAATGTTGCTTTCCAAGACATTCTTTTTCATATTTTTATAACTAAAAATTTTTAAAGTAATTTTGTCAGAATAATGATTTTTCTTCAGTTACATTTTTACATGTAAAATTTTTATTTATTGAAATTTTGCGAATTATAAATTCTTTCTATCATCTTTTTAGAGTCAAAGTTTTTTTTAAAGTGCAATTTCCAAATCATGATTTTTCCGTAAATTTCTTAAATGTCAGTTTTTTATTGAATTTTTCAGACATCACATTTTTACAACTCAAAAAAATAATGCAAAGCAAAAAAATAATTTATCATATTTTTACAAGCAAAATATGTTTAGAGGGATATATTGAAAAGTATTTTCCGTATCACAAGTAAAAATTTTTTTAAGTAAGTTTTTTAGAAGCAAGATTTCTCCTATATGATATACCCATATAAGCACGATTTTTTTCATCTTCATTTATATATATATATATATATATATATATATAACAAATAAAAAAACAAGATATAATGGGTATATAAAAAGACTAGTGTGATGAGATCAGAATGAAGACAAGACAAACATATTTATAAAAAAAAGAAAAATATACCTCTTACAACATGCGCATAAAAACTGTTTCTTACATATGCTGAAAAAAATTTGAACATCATGACCTTCTCGAATAATAATTAAAATTATTTCAAAAGCTCTAACCAGTAATCCCCTATAGCATCATATACAATATAATTCAATCAAACTCATTAAATTATTGTGTATTGATCTCGTTTATTCAAAAGATAATCAATCATTTATCAAGGGCCTCATATAAGTAATTTGTAACAGGTCCCACATTCGATTATCACACAGATTCAATCATATCATTCAATCTTTAATATACAACTATGAACAATGAAATAATATATGAACATGAAATCGTCCAATTTTATGTACACACTCACCGCGCAGCGATAAAACATATTGAATTAACGTGTCGACGATTCACATTTTGTTTTTTTGCGAAATTTTCAACCGTAGTCGCCCGTTTTTTACACGGTAGGTTCACTATTGTTGATTGTAGAATGTTGAAAAGTGATAATGTTGATTGAAGTTCTTGCAGATAAACACTGATATTCCCATTTAAAGTAATTTTCTTCTTTGACTGGAGGATAATGGTTTCTGTGGAGTTTTTGGCAATACCACAAGCATTTATAATTTCTACTATATCCACAAGGCAAAAATACTAATTACAGGTTTTCGATGGCATTTTTAATAAAATAGAATAGAAATAAATCATTGTCCATCAACAGGTCGATGGTATGATTTACCCAGGGTGGGGTAACAAAAATCCAAGTATTTTTGCATTGCGAAAAAGTATCAGAATTATCATAACGATGTTTACCATTTTTATAATTATCATTATATGAATTTAATGTTTTAGTAAAACATCGTTATAGGTCAAATATATTTTAACTACATGACCTATATTGCCAAAAACACACAGGAACAGTTAGTCCCGCTAACCCAGTTAATATATACATACAAATCATATACTAAAAATTAGACGTCGCATATAAATATTTTAATTGCAAATATCACAATTCCTATTGTAGGATATTCTTTATAATCAACTATATCTCGATATAAATTATATGAAAATAGTACAGTTCTTTTCTTCAAGCAAATAATAATGTTGAATATGAAATCAAAATATAATTTACTGAAAGCAGCAATTTTCAATTTTACAATTATATTTTATTTATAGCTTTATCATACGACATATCATATATTTATATATAAATTTAAATCGACAAGACAAAAAATTATAGTCATAATAAATGTATATATTTCTTAACTATATGTATTCTATTATGTACTATCTTTACGAACAAAAGTTTTGTTTTTTTAAAAGTCATCAGATTCTATAATATTTACAATGTCCTCTTTGATTTTTATTTAATCGGATTTACAAATGTTAATTCTATGGGTTGTATTCACAATTTGTTACACAGAGTGCAATGCAAGTTTTAAAATTTAATGGATCAATTCTGCCTTAAAATAGACCAATGTCATGGCAAAGCTATGTTACACTGCGTTTTCATATAAAATGGTACTAAAACTTCATATAAATGGTACTAAAAACTGTCAAAATGCTATGTGGTAACGAAAACGCACAAACATCAAAAGAATCTGATCATAAGTGCATCTTCCTGATGTATCATTATAAGATATGAATGAAGTTAGATTTTATATGTAAAACGCACATAGCATTTTGTTAGTTTTTAGTACCATTTTATATGAAAAACGCAGCGTAACATCGCCTTGCCATAACATTGGTCTATTTTACGACATAATTGGCCGGTAACTCCAACTGCATTTGTTGGAAATTCTTTGTTTCGATTTGCTAATTTTAGTCTTCTCGTATTCAGAATCACACGTCTATTGTTAAATAATATTTACTTAAATTAACTCTAACCACCATTAAACTATACATAATTATATTAAATATAATAAATACGAGCAAACTAAAATCGGCAAATCGAAATCAGAACAATGCCATGTGGAATATTTTGATCAAATATTTTTCAAAAATATGTACTTTGAACAATTTAATATACAAAAGTGGTGCATCTTTGATCTAGAAATTAAATTATGCGCTTTTTATTAAAAATCTAGGATGATGAGTACCCTACGCTAATCCAAACAAAATATTTTTTGTGTTTGTATGGTAAATCTAAACTCGTCTATGTCGAAACGATACCGCCGCTAAAACAGTTTTGTTGAAATAATTTAGCAAAATTAATAAATATTTACAATAATAATTGCTAATATGTGCAATTTTGTCTTTGTCCTTTGTTATAAAATAACTTCCGTGAACCAATCATCAACAGTTAATAGTACGATTTATATTAAAGGAATGTACTAATTTTAGTATGAAATATGTTACGCATTAATAATAGCTCGACATATACAAATCAGCTTTGTCTTTGTGAATCAAATTTTTAAGCTAGATTAAGCTACAGGTAAATCTAAATATACAAACTCAAATCTATAATTAACAATTATTTAAATTTTAGTACGTTCAACAAAACTGTTAGTAGTATCAGAAAACATTTTATTAAATTAAATAATGCTCACAAATGTATTCGTCTTAACGCCTAATAAAGAAGAAATCCGCATGTACACACATAAACGTACACATTTAGAACCATGCGTATATGCCTCAAGAGTATCACTTTTAAATTTTAATTGAATTAACAAGTTACATACATATACATATTACATATTACATATACATGATTTAAGGGGACAATTATACGATAAAATAGATCGTAACATAGCGTTGTTATGGCAACGCAATGTTGCGCTCCTTACTTCATATTAATTAGTAGTAAAAACTGTAAAAATTCTATGTATTTGCTGTGCAGTCAGGTAAAACCTAACCTAGAAAATACATAAACCTTGAAAAAATAATATTGTCAGAACTGCATTTTTCTGATGTGATTTATATAAAGAAAGAAGCATAACATAGCATTGCCATAACAAAGAAATGTTACGGTCAATTTTCTCTGAGAATAGGCCCCTGAATTTCTGCAAAATATGCCAATAAAAAATAAGTTTGTAATGTTTAAAATCTTTCAATTAGAAAAATGAGCGATATCTCGAATCATGTACGTACGGTTCAACCTGTTCACTAATATATTATATTTTCCTTTTTATTCATTATAAATATTAATATTTTGTTACAGTAAAGATCTAAAGGTTTATAAATATTTTGGGTATTATATATCTAAATATTCAATTAATATATTTTATAATTTATTTTCTACAATTTATGTTATAATTTAATATTAAAATACGTATACTTTACATTTTTGTGTGTGATCCTTAACTTGAAAATAATCATTCGGGCGGTTTTATTTTACGTATTTCGTTTAATTTTCCATTTTTTTTATTTTCATTTTGAAACCTGAACAGTTAGGTATTCGTATGGAAAAGCCAATAATTACTATATAATATAATGTGTACTTTTTACGTATATTGGTATGATACAACTATTACAAAAATACATTTATCAAATCTGAATTATGTTCCACATGTCCACATACGGTTTTGTAAAACAACTTATCAAGTTATAACTACTTATATAACTTTGGTAACATAGTCGTTGTGGGCATAAGCTTTAGAGCAGCTCTGGTTAGATTCCAATCTCAAACAGCTTGCGAAGAAAAGCATAGTCCGTCAAACGCACCTTTGGTTGACTCCTGATTACTATTACAACGCACTGAACTTCACCATTCACCACCGATGCACCTTCGCGATTGCAACCGCCGCTTTAAGCACAGTTATTAAAAACAGCACAACGCGAATTAAAAATTTCATAACGAGAAAATCAATTTAAACGTCGTATACATTGCACTCTCATCACTGGCCTGTTAGTTACGCAGCTAAATTTCTTCACATCTAGTCCATTTGTTCAGTCAATCGATTAAATATTATTTATCTATATTATATATTATCGCTAAATTCTATTTCACACGCCGTTTAACCGGCACACAGTTCTAAGATTTTTTAAATAAATAAACTATACATATGAGTTCCACTCGAATCGTCACCGGGAGATACATTATTATATTACAAAGTTATATTCATTGTGAAACAAAAATCTAATTCGTGTGCAAGCATGTCTTGGAATTAAGATTGTAGAAATATTAAATTATATAGGTAAAATATTTTGAAATTAGGTATTTAAGAGGTCATTGTGGTTTTATATTTTTGCTAAAAATGTTATTCCGCGTATTGATCTGTCGTAATAAGTTTTGTTTTGTAACACGTTGACACGCAGAATACTGTTTATTGTGGAGATGAGGGTGGCGTAATATCGTCGCCTCCGTCACCTGATCCTGGCTCGCCCTTGGTCTTGTTTTCCTTCTTCCATTTCATCCTTCTGTTTTGGAACCAAATCTTAATCTGCCTTTCGAGACACAGGGCGTGCGCGATTTCGATGCGTCGCCGTCGCGTCAGGTATTTATTGAAGTGGAACTCTTTCTCCAATTCCAGCGTCTGGTAACGCGTGTACGTTTGGCGCCCTCGTTTTCTTTCTGAAATGGAACAAATTCGTGCAAATTATAAAATAACATGCCTAAATAAATACCGGGTACGCCCGTAAGTTTACATAATACAATCGTATGAAATGTTGAGAATCAGCACAAGAAATAAGATCCACGAGAAATGCGCTAGCGAAGCCAAGACCGTTGACGGCTCTTTCATCTATATTGATGTATCCGTTGTATTTACATTCCGATTCGACTCTACCCATGCTTAAAAATATGCGTCCGCGCCGTTGAAATAAATCAAGCCATGTTACGGTCAGATAGAAATAATTACTTACCTTCTCGAGCTTAGGGATAGATCAATTATAACGCCATTCTTGATCTTACTAATTAGATTCTAAACATCAAAAATGGTGATTTTCAGGTAGATAAATTATATTCAATCATTTAGAAGATTCCCCGGGTCTCATTGGATAGGATTTTACATTCTCTTCAATTTAGGCAAAAATTTCATTTTGAACATTTTACACCGCAAATATTTGTATAATGTACGTAATTAAATATTTTGGGTTGTAATTATCGTAATTATAAGCGCTGTTATTCTAAGAACTTCTTAAATATGGGATATGATATAAAAATCTATATTTAAAAAAAATCACTCACCGAATTGACTGCGCATCCAAGGATACAACGGACTAGGGAGGGAGGCTGCAGTATTACTGGGCGGTTGCTGCTGCGCTGCTTGATGCATAGGTTGCTGATGCGTTTGATGCTGTGGACTGAGTCCTTGTACGCCGCCGTACATCATATGTTGCTGAGGCGGCGGCTGGTGCATGGGCGGTTGCTGTTGCATGTGATGTGCTTGCTGTTGCATATGATGCGCTTGATGCGCTTGGTGTTGCTGCTGTTGCATATGATGCGCTTGATGTTGTTGTTCTAGCGGAGGACTACCATGGCTTCCCAGTACACCACCTTGGGCTACTGCAGCCGCTTGCAATTTACAGCTTGCATATACAACAGGCGTTTGATGACCATTTGCATGACCCATTTGACCAGGACTATCGGGTCGGTATCCTCCGCCGCCGTCCACCATCTGCTGCTGTTGCGCTCCATAGTACGCCGCACTCCGAATGTCCATGCGATCGTAGGGCGGAAAGCGCGGGTAAGGCATGCCTTGGGCTGGCTGCTGTCCAGCACCAGACGGCGGTCCATAGTGGTGAGCGGGAATACCCTGCCGTAATCCGACAGCCGTGGGATCGCAGTTATTCGGATCGCCACCGGCTATGTCTCCTCCACCAACTTGGGCAGTTGCTCCGTAGTGTTGATGATGCGGCGCGTGCTCCACTAACGGCACGACGCCGCCGCCGTTCCGCAAATCCGGCATGTATGAGTTCGCGAAGTACGAACTCATACTGTCGCAGTTGTTAGTGCCCATGGCCACCACTGTTGTATCCTCCTCGGGCTCCCGCGGAACCCAATTCGATTCTAGGGACAGCGTCCTTGATTGTTGTAACACCGCCCTCCGGAGAAATGCACCAAACGCACAAAAAACACAGCTTTTACTTCACACTAGCAATATCACTTCAACTTATCACTTTTTTGCAATAACTTCTTCGAACTGATTGTATCGGTATACCACTAACCTGCAACAAAAGAAAATAGAGGTTAATTTTCTATCATAAAAGAATCTTCAAAAAGTAAATAGTAAAATATACATAAAGTGTTAAAAACATTTTCCGTTTCAATAAGATTAAGAATAACAAAAATATTTGAGAATATATTTAAGAACATAGATTTGCCATAAATAGACACTTCAATTAATTTATGACCATATATAGCACTAAGGCCTGATTCACTGATTCCCATAGTTAGTAATATAGTAAACATTATTCAATTCAATGTCTCCCGAGTTCCTTCAACATAGCATCGTCGGTGTTTACAAAGGTGTAGTTGTATTAATGACGCCCTAAATCAGTAACACATGTCATTATACAATTAGCTGGAATCGCTACAATGTTAATAACAAGACCGGTAATCAAGTTTGCTACATTCATACATGTAATGTAGGAACAACTATTGTACATCAGTTCAAGACGCATTTCATGAGAACTTCAAAGTGATATATTAAGCTAATAAATAGATGCAATTTTGTTTAATAATACTCAATTGCTATAATCATACTCGTTATTGAATACCTATAATAAAAGATATTTAATGTTACTTTATAATATGATGATTGAAAGTAAGGAGCGAATTGTTGGATAAAATAGCAATTATATTAAAAATTTAATTTAATAAGACAATTATTGTACGTGTTTTGAAGGAGATAAGGTAAAACATCGATCATTGCAAATCCGAGAAAATTCTTTTTTCTCGGTATAGGGGAAAAGCACTTTCAAAAAGTTGGATAAAAACAATAAACACTGGATAACCGTTCTCGTGATGTATACATATCAAGATTACATATGATTATCCTAAAAGTGGTCAATATTTCAGATGTAGGATGTTTATTGAATGATAGTATTCGGTCATATCATCACAATCATCAGGAGGGTTGTTTTTGCATTGGTTATAGGGTCCTATAAGCTTGGAAACATACGATTTTTATATGGTTGATAAAATAATCATAATGTCGAGCTTGTGAGTTGCACTATATTTTGCCATTTGTTATATAGGCACTTATATTCCTAATAACGTTTCAAAATGTTTTCAAGCCCTGCCCCAGATATTCATCGAGAAAGAATCATTCCACTAGGTCTGCAACAGGGAACAAATAATAACAAATGTCCATTACTCACACACAGAAATCGGGAACGCGCGGTATGTGTGATCGACCCACCACCCCATTGTCGAATATCAATATTGCGCTGGCACGTCACTGTAAATTTTACCCTGAAGTGAAACCGCTATTGATTACTAAACATTGATGAATGGTTTCCATCATTCGCGATTACACCGCGTTGCTGCTATCGCTCGGAACGGCGAACATTTGTGTTTATATAATGAACGTTTAGTCAGATTGCACATTTTTCGGGAAGTGCATATAAACCAATATCAGGGCAACATGGATTGATGAATTTCGAATAGAGAGTTATTAATTTTTGATGCTGCCATTTATAGCTCCGCTTTTACTATGAAATTTATTATTACAATTTCTGTAATAGTGATACGTTTTTATTGGTTCAGCAATGTCGGGTAAGTGCTATATTTACTTAAAAACATTGTTATACATATTTGCAAGTGAAAACGAATGTCACTACTGCTTGACATCAAGCTGCTCGGAACGGATATCGAGTCTGGGTTCAGATTCAAATCCCATAGCTCTAACCACTCACAAACGGGAAAGCTAAAATTTAAACTACTAAAGCTAAGCTTTAATTTAAACTACTAGGAAAAAACATTCAGAATTATAAAATCTTATAAAAAATTCGATTACATATCTAGATAGTATATTGACCAATTATTTGCAAATAATAACAAAATGTTACAACATAAATACAATTTCTATATAAAAAGCTTTCTTCAGCCAATAATTTATTGATTTAAATTTAATTGGCTATATCGTGGGTAAGTGGTTAGAGCTATGAGATTAGAATCACAGGTACCAGGTTTGATACCCGCCTCGAGCAGCCTGATGTCAAGTAGTGGCATCGATTTTCATCTGGAACTTCAGATATCAATATTTTTTCAAGTGAAAATAGCTTTTTTCGTCCATACTGCATCAATAATTCATAACTATTACAAAAATTGTAATAATAAAATTCATCATATGGGGATGGGACAACTGTTTTGGTGCCATCTATAAAACAAAAATCGACGTAAAATACATGCTGATCGCTGTTCAAATAATAATAAAATAAAAAAGCGTATTACATAATTAATTTTACGACATATTGATCAATTTTTGGCAAATAGTAAACAAAATAATAGTTTCTATTTGATAACACATTAATCGTCGCGATAATATCAGAAAATTTTTCACATTACTATATAACTTTATTGGATAATTTAGTTAAAACTGCATCAAGAAAATTTTATGTATCAAACAAAAAAAGCGAAATCCTGGAAAAACACTATTTTTATCTCATACTTTAAGACTGACAAGGCTCTATATTAAAAAAAATCTCTTTCTACCAAATCGCGTGTCAGACATAATTGTCTGATGGCTCATGTAAAACTTCTTAGCGTCAGACACACATGATTGACATAGCGATTAAGGTGTCCATAATTATGAATATTAAGGGTACTGCAGTTTAAATTTAATTGACCGACAAAACTATGTTACGCTGCGTTTTCTATATAAAATGGTACTAAAAACTTCAAAATTTTAAGTGGTTGCTGTGCAGCCAGGCGTTATTCTATACGTTAATTCTTAATATAGAAATGAAAAAGTTTTTAAGAATTAAATGACAAATAATAATTTAATAGTTATTTACAAAATATTAATCATACACAATATACAATTCCTAGTATTGCACAAACTATAGGTAAAATAATTGAGACAACATTCCAAATGTTAATTTCGAAATTGTTTGCTCTTGGATTACATTGTCAATGCCGACGAATGATTCAGACCGAATGATTCGGACACGGTAAACAATAATGCATGATATATCTATTAGAAGCGGCCGCATAAAGACAATATATCAAAAACGTTTGCCCAACGCACATGCGGTTAAGCAAATACAATGCAATTCAAACACAACGAACGCATGTCAAACAGTGCTCCCGAAGTCGCTCGCCATCTAACAGAATCAGCGTACACCATAACTAAGAACTGAGTGCGTCCGAGGTGAAACGCGCTCGCGTATACGACAGGCAGCCGGCTACGAATTTGCTTTCAACAACTTACAGATGGCTCTAGAAATTTAATTTACATCGTTGGAACTATCAAGTTCGTGGATTAGAGCAGGGGCTCCCAAGCTTTTCGTGAAGAGCTGGATAATAATAATAAATAAAATTCAATTTAATACGATTTACATTCAACAACTTGACCTGACCTGAATAATTGTAATAAACATTCAGATAAAACTTATTTCAGTACTTATTCAACATTCAATAGATTTCAGATCGCTCTAGGAATTTTATTTACATTGTTAAAACTATCAAGTACGTGTTTTAGTGTACCCAAAGCTTTTCGTATGGAGCTGAATAATAATAATAAAATGAATTCAGATAAAACTTATTTTAGTACGAATTTACATTCAACAACTTCCACATAGTTCTAGAAATATAATTCACACCACTGGAACTATCGAGTACGTGCTTTAAATTGTATATTTGTTATAACATTTTGTTATTGTTTGCAAATAATTGGGCAATATATTAAGATAATGATATCCAGATATGATAATCGTTTTTTTTTATAAGATCTTATAATTCTGAATGTTTTTTTCTAGCAGTTTAAATTTAATTCGCTTTCTCGTTTGGAAGTGGTTAGAGCTATGGGATTTGAATCAGAAGCGAGGCATGATATCCGTCTCGAGCAGCTTGATGTCAAGCAGTAGTGACAGTGCAGATTATTAATGGCAGAGCCGACTCTGTCGATTTATATATCTTATAATATGTTTGAGTTGCATATGTTTGAGTTTTTCCAAGCACTTGCAAAAGAGTTGGATGCAAGTATTATAACAATAGATAAAACTCATTTTGGTTACGGATTTACATGTAACGATTTCTAGGAATTTAGAAATTGTATATATACCGTCGAAACTAACAAGATCAAAACAATAGAGCTCAGATACCCAAACGTTTAGAAAGAGCCGGGTTCAAATATTAAATAAAAGATACAACTCGTTTTAGTAGTTTATTTTTTTATATTTAGCATAAGAATATGTTAAATATTTATTTACTTGATATTTTTTATTTAAATTTAATGTTTGGTATATAATTTACTAATAAACTATTATTTTTTATTTTTTACTAGAAATAATTGATAATGACACATTTTTATAAACAAAAACAAGCCTTATTTCGGATTATGTATTTTCGAGTTATTCGTACTATTATTTATATATGTATGAAAAAATTACAAGTAAACACTGTATCATAATTCTAAAAATTATTCAAATATGATTTTTGGTTCGAAATAATTTAATTAGTTTTTTCTATTTAAGTTTCAACAACCACATGACATTATAATCTATAAGTTCAAAGTGAGAGTAAATGAATAATTAATCAAATAATTTTGGAATTCGATTTATAAATAATTTTTATCATGTCATCAAGAAAAACTTGACGCATTATCTACATCACTATTTGCAAAAATTGCAAACAAAAAACTGAGTTCGAATACAATAAATAATGTGAAACATATGGGAACTTCCCAACCTTGAAATTTCAGAAGCGCATAAATAACATAATTAGTATTATTATTTAATTATTATATAATCAGTGTTTAGAATGGCTAAC